TTAAACGTTTAAAGCGGTTGGGGATTTCGGGGGCCTAGGGCGCCAAAATAGAAGCCTCAAAGTACTCCTTCTGAAACTAAGCCAAATCTAAAATTCTGGACCTTCATAACTCCAAAATCTCCGATACTGCTTCAAAACAGGCCATTAAACAAGACCACCCAATTCAGTTGGGGGACTCTGCTTAACCTGCAGGGCTTGAGATTTAGACATCCATGCAAAAGCCAGTCCCCCACTTGAGGTAGGTGCAGAACAGAAGTCATCAAGCTCCGCCTCTGAAAAGCGAGAGCGCACAACATCTGGCTTAGGGTTTAAGGCTTGGATTATGTCCAAGTGTTAGAGAGAGAGAGAGAGAGCGAGAGCGAGAGCGAGAGCGAGAGAGAGAGAGAGAGAGTGAGAACAAAAAAAAGAAAAGAGATGATTCCGGGCACTGCGTAGGCGTAGCCTCTAGAAAAGAAGAGAGGATGATTTCGTCAAATACGTGAAGGCCTTACATGGCAATATGAATGCCATCCAATTCTCGGAAGCTTGAGCGAAGTAGTCGATGATCATATCAACAAGGTTTTTTGTTGCGGGCACAGTTGCTCGATACAGACAACCCTAAGCGGAGGTCAGAGCAATTTTCCCCATACCCAAGGGCCCAAGGTACCTACATAGAAGAAAACATGGTTTCTGTCGTGGAAATTCCTCTCATGGTTTGGGTAAGTATTCCTGACGCGGGTACCTGGCACGTTTTGAGCTTGCATTGCTGCACAAGTGTTTGAGAACGGCATGCCGACAACTCATGTCACAACGTGAGCAGGGTAGTTCAGTGGGTACAACTCCAACCTTGCACCAAGAGCAGGAATAGTTTTGAACAGGCGCGGAAAGCACAAGTTACATCCAAGTAATAATCTATAGAACTCATAGTCTCTGGTAGCTACCATTTTTTCTAATGTAAGATATCTTTACACATAGACTTATGGGCTTCAGTGAGTCCCCTGTATCAGGCCCCTGGAGCCGGCTCAAGGTTGGGCTTTCCCACCCAGCCCAGTTTTTGGTAGGGATTATATTGGGATCATGGAAAAGAAAATGGAAACGACTACAATATTATAGGGTATATCTTGGGGTTATATTGGGGTTATATTGGGATAGTGGAAAAGAAAATGGAAGCTACTGCAGTATTGAGGGTTGGGCACTTTTACAAGGTTGGGGCCCGGCTAGACAGTCAAATAACGCATTCTTTTCAGCTGCGGAACTCTTTTGCTGTACCCTTAACTAGACCCTCCAAGTTGATATGGCTTTGTCAACTATTCTTCTCCAGACTTTCAAACTGCATTGGGAGGTCTGCTATGCAATCCTCTCTGATCCTCTGACCCTATTCACTCCTTGCGTAACCTTACACCCTACAACACCCTACGTGACTCCTGCGAAGACCTTCTAGCCCCCTACCCTGAGCTTTCTGAGGAAGATCTCTGGCGATCTGAGCGAGGCAAAGAGTTTCAAAGGATTGCTTTGGTCTTGCCCATAATCGTGATGGTGTCATGGTGTTGCATCTTGGGAAAATCCAGGGTTATCAGATTAGGAAATTAATATTTCAATGCTGCAGCATAGCGTACCAGCCCTGAACCCTACTGTTCTTACTATTCAGCTCCTCTTGAGGAGGCCTCAACATGCAGGGGTGAGGGGGGCAGTGTTGGCAACTCTTGGGCCGATTCTGGAAGAACCACACCATGCTAAAACTACCTGGACCTCCCAGATATCCATAGTAATATCATGGGTCCCCCTATTCCCCCCCAAATCCCCCTAGGTTCCGCTGAATTCACCTTAATCATACGTTTGATTACCCCTAAATAATCTAAAGGGGAACGTTCGGGTGGCGGGAGTAGTATGCAGGGGTAGCAGGGGCCCTAATGACAGCCTGTACGGGGTCAAAGACCATTGTGATAGGGCCCTGGGAGGTCTAGGTATGCAACGGCAAGTTTAGGTGCCGACGTCTCACTTCAAGTTGTGGTTGGAAGGGTGGGTACTGGGACAAAAAGACGTTGCCCAAAACTAAGGGTCTCTTTTGGGGTCCCCCTAGTGATGGCAAAACTACTTAGCCTAGCGGTTTCGCCTGGGCAGCTCAAGGGGCTTCGTAGGATGTTGATTTACAATGGCGCAGCACCAGAGCCCAATTGCCTGCGAGAAGGTTAAAGTAATTGCTTGGTACCTGGGCATCGTGCCTGTTTAGGGTTTAAGGTTTAGGGGTTCAGGAATTAGGTGGCATCGGAAATGAGCGCGCTGCTCGAAAGAGATGAAAAATCTGCAGTGCTGAACAAGTGAACCCTAAACCCTAAATAGTAGTTTCCATTTTTGTTTTCCGTTATCCCCATTTACATCCCCCTATTATATATATATGTATATAGATATATAACCCCAATACATCCCCCATTATATATAAAACCATAATATATACCCTATTATATTGTAGTAGTTTCCATTTTCCATGATCCTTATAACCACAGACCACTGTAGATCCCAGCCATGCTCCAAATTTGCTCCGCTCTTCGGATTTTGCTGTGAAGTGGGGCCTGTTGGGATGTAGGGTCTAGGGTTTTGAATTAAGGGTTGTGACGAGCCGCTCAAATGATAAGCAAGCTGCAGCAAGTAGCAAATTGTTTGCAGCCTGAGCTGCATTTCTCTCAGTTTTCCTCCATCTCATGCAACATACCCACACCTTCGATCCGAAAACGCTGCCCAATGCTATCACCTCGCTGTATAACTACCGCACGCAGGACGTCGCCATACAAAATGGACCATGGCTGAACACCTGACATGCAGACAACCCAACCGCGGTCCTTGTAGTAGCCCTTCCCGCAGTACCGGGCATCGCATGTTGAATACGGTGGGTTATGGAGACGTTATTTGAGACAGCCTATGCGACTTCTTTTTTGATAAGCACACCCGGACTTGTGTTGATAGGTTCATGCCCTTTGAGCCAGCGGCATCCTTGAGCGGCAGTCACAGGGTTTAGGGCTTAGGATGGTATCTATGCGCAGCCCTCTTCTTCCTCTTTCTAGACATAAGTTTGGCAGCTCATGTATGTTTGAGCCATTGGCTCTGGAAATGCCCTAATGAGTCCCCTAGCGTATAACTTGGCCATCCGAGCCACCAACCATTTCAGGTTCCTTTCTGGGTATGCTATGGTTTTTTGGTAAGGGATTGTAATATACACTCCCCCAAATTAACATGGAAACCCATATAGCTCCAATTTAGAGGGACTGTAGTCTTTATAGGGCCCCTTTTGGGTTTCCATGTTAGTTTCCAGGAGTGTATTACCCGAAAAGGAACTACATAGGAGGGTCTGGGTAGACTAGGGCTTCATGCGAGACACCTCCTGAAAAGCTTCACCCTCAACCCCAAGCCCAAAGCTACCTCAAAGTGGAGCCCTAAACCCTAAACACTAAACACGGGGTTGGGGTTTTCCTCGTAATTATAGCCAGGAAGCTAAGCCGTCAACGCTAAACGCAACCTCTAACACCTTCCTAGCTGCCTTGCCCTCTGAGAGCGTGTAGCTACCTTTCGCCCCTTTTTGCCTAGACACAAGGTATAGGGACTTACGTCCTTGACGGGACTGTAGATCCTTCCTTGTATCACCTGTCCCAATGGCTTCGAATACCGCCGTGGATGCTTGCGAAGCGCCAGAGCGCACAGAGTCCAGGAGTATCCTCCTAGACATGGATGAGAGGCAGAAGCTGGTCTGCCGAACCTCCATAACATCTTGGGTCCTGCCCCCACTCATGAAGTTGGACAATAGCTATACAATTCGATACAGCCCCTAATATTACCTCTACTAAAAACTCCTATAAGGGTCCAAGGACGCAAGTAATAAGGTTTTAGGGCCCAAATACTGTAATGTTAACGGTGTTTGGGACCTAAAGCCTTATTATTTGGGTTCTTAGACCCTTAGGGGACAGGCAGGATACAAATAACACCTAGAAACTGCTTTGCATCAAACTTCCAGGAGTGCACCAGATAGGTATAGAAACTTTAGGATGAACATTGTCTTGGGTTTAGGGTTTAGGGCTCCTTAACGTTTTCTTGTCTGATCAGGCACTAGGCTGCACTTGTCATTCTGAAGCCAATGGTGCATTTCGATGCCAATGGTTGGGTGGCAGGCGTGCTGGGCCACCGTGACAGTGTTCAGCCCTTGTAGCGCTGACAGTCCCAGATCTCACCCTAATATTGAGACCCCCCCATCAGAAGAGGAGATTTGGACGGATGACGGTGTGGTAAAACTGGCACTGGCTGTTCACGCTTGTGTAGTAGGTCAAACCTACCTAACTATACAGGGAAAGGGTGGCAGAGGCAGCATGCCTAGTAGCACCTACATTACCTCCCCGGCCCCTACTCGACCACGCACACAAGTACCATCAACGAGACAGGCTAGAAGGTGCACAGGTGTGGGGCAAGCGCGTCTGTGGGGCTCTCAAGATTAGGGCTACCTTGTTAGGGATCCCCATAATCAGGATTCGCGCGTTTCGGGATCTATACTAGGGTCCCGTAGTTAGGGAAAGTACAATCTTTTTTTTTTGTACAGCCCCGTACCTGGGCGTGTTTGAGAAAGTCGCAGTCCAAAATTCTTTGAGAGAGCGCTGGACCTTCTCTATGATTTTCCGCATTTAAGCACCGGTCCAGTCTAATAATGTCACTATATCAGGTCTGTTGTTGTTATTATCAGGGCGTTGGGGGGGGTTCATTATTCGTGAGAGGGGATTAAGCAAAGCCTATACCCAATGCCCGACATGTTAGGGCTGAGCATTTGGGGATGATCACACTGACTTCCAGCTAGGCTATGATGAATCTATTCCTGCATGAAAGGAAGCATCCCACACCAAAGGGTCCAGAGCACCCGCATAGTACCAAGTCGATTTGAATAACAATCTCCAGAGAAACGGTAGTTTTCTGTACAGCGCTAGACCTCAAACTTGTAAACTGCCAATGTGATCTGGTGCCCGAGGAAGCATGAAGCCGTAGGGCGCATGCTGATGCAGCGAGACGCCGAAGACTGGCAAGCACTGTTGCAGGCCTTCGAGCGCAACCGCGGCGGCAACCTTGCCGACAGAATCATTTGGAGATTGGTCTAAATTCCCTATAATACGGGGTCCAATATTTGGGTTCCCATTATAATACGGGGCCCTATATAATTTTCCCCCATTTTGGGAACAGTAATTTAGGGAAACTTCCATTTGGGTCCTAACTGGGTATTCGGATCATATAGGGATAATGGAAAAGAACGAACTATTCAGTCTGCTATCGGTTCAGAGTTTTCGAGTCGAGAGCTTGCAAGGAAACTAGGAAGTTCCCGGAAACCTTTAGACCCTAAACACTTATGGTTTGGCCGCATTTCGTGGTTGCTTGGGGGGCGATGGGAGCTCGGGGGACGCTTCTTAACCGAAGAGTTATACCTGAAACCCCTCAAGTATGTAAACTTGGTTTAGGGTTTGGGGTTTTGGGGAGTATTTTGGTCCTAGATTCCTTGTATACATGCGGCCTGGGGCGCCTCAAGTAGACCTCAAGATGACATTGGAATTGTTTAGGCTTCTACATCCTCCATATAACCCTTACATGAACCCAGCTTCTTTTTCACGTCTCCTGTTCTTTGCCATGGCTATGATGGCAATCCTGCAGGCTTGTACATTACCCCTGTGCTTGGCTATTGCGCCGAGGCTATTTCAAAGCTGCGTCAGGTGAATGAAATTGATGCCTATAGACTTCCCAAACACCCAGAACATTGGGATTCAATCCCAAAATCATGGGTTGAGGTGTCTAGAAAGCGTCAATCGCTTCCACTGCTTTTTACCGCGGTGCCATTCCTCTGTCACTTTGTAGCTGTTGCTGAACCCGAAAGCAAAGATGCGCCCAGGTAAACGTCGCATCTTATTCCAGGAGACGGCATGTTGTCCAATGATTTTTCAGGTAGGTAACTCATCTCTTAGTCTCCCCATATAAGCTGCATGTAACCTGAAACTTGTGGTTTCTGGGTGGTCAGCCGGTCTTCAGCTTCTTCGGAACAAGGCAGACGGGGCTGTCCAGGCCATTCTGGAGCATGCACACAAGTTAGCTTGTGCATTTTGCCTGGCTCGCACTGCGCAGTCTGACGCAGTATGCTGGGATGGTACAACATATACTGTGATTCCGGAGATCTTTCAAACCTAGACCTCAATGCCTTCCCAGCAGTCTTGGTTCTGTTAACTGGGGATATACAGGGCTTCTGCCAGGAGTTCTGTAAGGATATATAGCTTAACACAGGTTTAGAGAAGTTCTGACTGTAATTTCGTACAATTTCTGAAAACGATAATGAAGACTAACGCTGGTCTGGTGACATACCTACCGGGTTGGGTCCAAAGGGATATGGGTACCGGGAAAGCCTTATGGAGTAGTCGAAGGGGCATGGGAGTACCTACTACTGTGACCATTAGTCATTGGTGCGTAGGGTTTATTGTTTAGCCCCTGTGACAAAGTTGTCACAAACAAAATAGTACGGCCTGGCTGCTACATACCTAAACCCTCTAACGCAGTCCTTTGTGTAGCCCCGGGTGCTAATCCTACGTACTCAACCCTGAAAACTCCCTACAACCCCCTCAAGGCTTGAAAGAGGGTCCTTAAAATCACCCCCGAACCATGGTGAGTAGCGTTTTTTCTAGTGAGTATTCTGGAATATCCTAAATCTCCAAAATACGCAAAATGACGTTCTTGTCCCGACTCAAAAGGGTGTAAAGGCCGTTCTTATGGGTGTTTAAGAGGGCTAGGTAGTTCTTGCGGAATGCCCACATTAATAGCCTCTAGAACAGTTTTTTATTTTGAGGTTAGGGGCCAGCAGAATGGGCATATCGGACATCTAGGGAAGAACCAACCTTCAACCCTTTCTGCAGAGAATCTTGAGTCCCTAAACCCAAACCCCCAAACCTTCAACCTAAAACTTCTAATCCCTTGACCTACAGCCTGAATACTCCTCGCAGGAGATGGGTGGGCAATCTGAAGAGATGGTCCTGGAGCCCCAACTTCGATGGTTCGAAGTGAAGACGCTGTTGCTTGATGCTGGGCTACAATTAGGTGCGACAGCCCAATAATGTTATCCGATAGTACCTTACAAACATCAATATAGATATGCGTGCATGTCACAAGCCACTTGTGTTTCAGACTAATTAGTTTTCTCATGTTGTTGTTGTTGTTGTTGTTGGTGGTGGTGGTGGTGGTGGTGGTGGTGGTGGTGGTGGTGGTGGTGTTGGTGTTGGTGTTGTTGTTGTTGGTGTTGGTGTTGGTGTTGTTGTTGTTGTTGT